GCAAATCGAGGCAATGCATACGCAATGTAATATGGCTAAAATGGCATATAGAATGCAACATGGACTTATACTAACATGAGAGAGCCTCAGCCACACTCACATAAGAAGCCGATGGATGAAAATGAAGTGCCTCGAAATGCCGTGCACACGGGCACGCAAACCGAGGCAATGGCATACGCATAGCAATATGGCTAAAATGGCATATAGAATGCAACATGGACTTATACTAACATGAGAGAGCCTCAGCCACACTCACATAAGAAGCCGATGGATGAAAATGAAGTGCCTCGAAATGCGTGCACACGGGCACGCAAACCGAGGCAATGGCATACGCATGCAATATGGCTAAAATGTACGCAAAACATGCTAATGGAATTTCAGCACTGAAATGTGGGGGAAAACAGCCCCGAAATGAGGTGAAAGTACACCCGATGCATGAATCTCTCCCGAAAATGCAAAATTAAGTACGTGAAATGGCTTACAGCTATACAAAGCATGCATAATTGGTACACGAGATGAAAAGACAGAAGCAGGAAGCCTCAAAATAAGATTTTTCCAGTACAAATCATGGCCAACAGCAAAAGCAAAGATAGGGCACAATGGCATGCAAAAATGGCTCTAAACATGAGGTTATGAAGCAACTCACAGCTGGCTAACTCCAATAGGTTAGGACCCTTCAACAACATTGAAGAGGGGCCAAAAATAAGCCACTTTACAGAACTGTAAAACCCTAAAAACAAACATAGATATGGCTGCACTCCCATGCAAGAAAAAGGGCCAAAAGGTGGCCAAAGAAGCAAGGGTATATGCAAAAGCCCAAACTGAAAAATTCCCTTCTACAAAATTGAAGAGGGACCAAAAAATATGACTATTTACAGAACTGTAAAAACTCCAAAACAGTATACAAACATGCTAGAAATGCAATCAAAATGAGGCTCAAAAGAGGCTATAACACAAAGTATACAAAATATTCACAAAGGCCAAAGACCCTTAATGAAACATGTTAAGAAGGTCAAAATAAGACTATTTCTAGGCCTGTAAAAAGGCCAAAAACAGAAGCATTGATAGGCTGCAAAGCATGCAAGAAAATGGCATTTAAGGAGGATATTGAAGCAAGTGCAATATGGAGGGGCTTCAAACCGGGTTGAGCCCTTAATGAAACAAGAAAATGAGCTCAAAAAATGACCTTTTCAGTTTTGGTCGGAGCTCAAATCAATAAGCATGTATGGTTACAAAAGGTGCAAGAAATGGACCAAAAAAGGGGGAAATGCCACTCACCCTTGAAGACAATGCCTTTATTCTTGGACCAAATTTTTGCCTCTTAGTGCTGGAATTCCTCCCTTGCTGCTGGAATGGATGGTGGTGGTAGAGCTTGGTGGTGATGAAGAAAATGAGGTGTAGCTTAGGAGTTTTCAAGGAAATGAGAGAGATAGAGGGAGAGTTGTATGTAAAGCTTCAAAGCAATTTTGTTCCAACCCCTCAAACATGTGTTGGCAGCTGGCTATAAGGCACAAAAAGAGGGTGTAAAGGTGGGGGAAAAAGGAGGCAAGCTTTCCCCACACAAATATCCCCCGGATTGGGATATTTTCTGGGGAAACAGCTATACAGCTGTAAAGTGTGCAGAGAGAGGAACATGGCCGGCCCTTTTGGGCTTGCATGTGGCCGGCGGCCACCTCCCCTAGCCGGCCGGCCAACGGTCAAAAAGGCCAAGTGGCTTTAGTGGCTGGCCACCACATATTGGTGGCCTCCCAGGTCTCCTCTTCACACCCTGTGGTTCGAATTTGGAAACTCTAAAACAGGAGAGAGAACAAACCATTTTGAGGGAGGGGTTCAAAAGGTTCAAGTGGAATTAGTGGCCGCCACCAACTTTTAGGTCCTCCATGTGTGTCATCAACAAATATATGGTTCAAAGTTCAAGAAAAAGGGCCCAGGTTTTTCAACATTAGCCCGGAAGGAGGGGTTCAATAGGGTCAAATGGAATTAGTGGCCGGCCACCAACTTTTAGGGTCCTCCCATGTGTATACAACACAAGTATGTGGTTCAAAGTTCAAGAAAGTGGCTCCAGGTTGTTCAACATCAGCTCGGAAGTGAGAAAAACGGGCGTCGGAGGGCGCCGGAGAAGTAAAAACTGGTTGTTGAGACAATTGCTGGCCTCCCACCCTTCTACGGCCTTTCCAGGTGATAAAACAGGGGTACCTGCCAAAATGAACGAAAATCGATGCAAAACGAATGCTCGGGGGCCGAAACACGCAGTTCGGGGTCCCGAAAATGGGCTGTTAAGCACCGAAAGTGGCATTCGGCCACGAAGTGGGTCTCTCAGACCCCAGTGTTCCTCAAAAGGGAGCAGAAAGGAAGTATGCCAAAAATCAGAACAAACGGAGATGGTTAGGCGGTCCCGAACCGAGGCACACGGCCAACGGTCCCGAAAAACGGAAACCGTTGGGAGAAGATAGGGGATGAACTCTGTAGATACAGCTCATATGCTTGTCTAGTAAAGTGAAGATAGAGCTCATATGCTTATCTTTGTGAAGTGTGGATATAGCTTATATGCTTATCTGTGGATATTGTTGTTATACATATCTGTTGTAGAATGTGGATATGCTTACATGCTTATCTGTGAATGTGGATATTGTTGTTATACATATCTGTTGTAGAATGTGGATATAGCTTATATGCTTATCTGTGAATGTTGTTGATACAGCTCATATGCTTATCTGTTGTAGTAATGATATAGCTCATATGCTTATCTATTGAAAAGTTTGTTTGATTTGATATAGCATTCAAATGTAAGTCATCATTGTTTGTGAAGTATGGGAGTAGTTTATGTGTTATTGATACAACACCATAATGTGTATCCGCCTTGGATTTCGAAAGTGTTCTAGTGATGAACTATAATCTCATCAAACGTTCTGGCCAGAGTACTGAGCCTTGTTTTCAAACTCAAAGTTGAACAAAAATGAAAAGTGAATTGTAATATAGACTTGGCTGTCATGGTAACGTAGGGAGATGTAAATGGAAGTGTCAGTGTTGACCGTCTATCAGTTGCTAATCTTTTAGTCATTGTTCATGGTTGGTTTAGTGTATTTCTACTGGGCTGTGGCTCACCCTATATGGGAATATCATTTTCAGGTACAGGTAGCATGCCACCTCCAAGGACATAGCTTGGGAGGCTAGAGGCGGACATACTACTGTCGTTATCTTTTTTGATGTATTACATGTAATTTCAAGCCAAGGGCTTTATGTGTAAACGAGTTAGAACTCTTTTGTTGTAACCAAGTGTTAACTTGGAAAGCTGTAAGCCTGTAAGGCATTTTGCTTTTGTTGTTAACATGTAATACCTTTGTATGAAACTCTGATGTATAAAAGAATGTGGTTATTTTAATATGTCAATGCATGTCTTATTTGATGGGTTTAATGTTATTATTTTGAGGACGTTACATAAATCAACATCATGATCTTGTTGATGGTGATGAAAGCCAGCAAGGGATTGTTGAAGATGTCCAATATCGGCAAAACACGTCAGCTTTAGGGAAATTTCATCTCCATTTTTTTCAAAACATTAGCATAAACAGAGACCTCAAAAAATCAAAACCCAACCTCATTTATGCAAGAGAGAGAGAGAGAGAGAGAGAGAGAGAGAGAACCTTAGGTAGAAATAGGAGTGGTGGTGGGAGTACATATCAGAATTAGGTGGAGGAGCTGCTGATGCTGCCACAATTTTGAGGGTGGGTGTTCCATTTCAATTTGTGTCCATTATAGGAATTTTAATTGAAGTTATAATTGTCATTAAAAAAAAATATCAATATGCGGGGTTCCCTAGAAAAAAGGTGGGGGACTATTAGCATCACCTGGAAAAAAAAATGATCTTAAGGTGACAAATTTTGGTGCTACAAACTACTTGTGTAAGCGATCTACCTTGCCATGGTTGATAATTCAAATCGATTTCATAACTGCAGAGCAAGACTTGAGAGAACGAGAGAATGATAAGAGAGAACAATGAGTTAGTTTCCCACAAACCCTATATATCTTCACAATACACATTTTAAATTTTATTTGGTATTTCCCCAAAATAAAAATAAAAAAAAAAACTTGACAGAACCAATGGCTTAGCCACGTAAGTTAAACACAGAGGTGGGTCTAAAAATTTAGTCTAAGGAGCGGGCTTGCATATCATTTTTCTATACTTATAAAAATTATATTAGTATCAAAAGCAATGGAAGTATAGCATAAATTTTGAGGTACACAGTAATATACGCACACATTCTTATTATACAGAAAAGTTGCATCAGCGACTGCGGTTTGTAAAATGTTGTTTTACGCGATTGATCTTTGTTTCGTGTCCCTAGGAGTTGCATGTAACTCAGCCTTAAGCAAGACCCAATGGGTAGTCGTGTCCAACCCGATTAAAACAAATTAGAGATTTGGGCGGGTTTAAATGGGTTTAATTGCGCATTCATGGATTCGGATTAACTTTGCTAGCTCTAAGTACAAGTACCTAGGATTTAAGACTAGCCAATTAGGCATCAATGAATAAGACTTCAAACGCAAGTTATGAAGCTAAATGCTTTTCAATAAAACAACCTCAACAAATAATTGCACCTGATCAAAACTCAAATGGATGCAAACAACATGACATGTGAAGCCCTAGAAAGCAGCCAACTTACATGTCTTATTTTGATGATAAAAAAAAAACGTACCCAGTGTACGAAACTCCCGCTTAAGCGGGGCCTAAGGAAGGGTTGATGCGCAGCCTTACCTCCACACACGGAGAGACTATTTCCGCGATTCAAACCCCCGACTACCAGGTCACCAAGGAGTAGCTTTACCGCTACGCCAGGCCCGCCCTTCTATGTCTTATTGTGATGATGGAGAAACAAAATGCAAAACAAATAGCACTTATAATTCTTCTTCTTCTTCCTCTGCAATTCACAAGTGCAATCAGCCCTAGCACATTCTTTCTTTCTTTACATACGGAATGCAAGTGCCAAAGATACCTCACATCAGTCATAGAGGCCCTCTAGGTTATAACCATGTCCATTTTTAATGCGGCGAGTTTTGAATTGTTTCAAAAAGATCACCATGTCTCTAGTTCTATCCACTATCAAATGCTTAATCTGAGAGCAACACCTCAAAATTTCCCCAATGCCCTCTATTATCAAACTAAGAAGTCCATTAAGATTTAGAGTCTGTAAATTGGGGCAAACAGCCCCTACTTTTTTTATGAATTCATCATTCAGATACACAGAACAAGTCAAATCCAATGATCTAATTCGATAATTCCTCTTCAACTCCAAGTTAAAATCATCTTCAACTTGTGGCTTTATATTAGGCAGTCCAATTTTCGAAAGCATAGGACATTCTTTTGCAAGGATGAAGAACGTTGCAGTGGTTATGTTTGAACACCGATTAAACTTTATGGACACGAGATTAGGAAGATACCGGCATAAATCCCTCATGTAATTGTCAGTGAGGAAATTATTGAAACAAAGTGTCAAGTGTGTCAAAGATGGGCATCCACATAAGAAATTCGAGAGTCCATGGAAGCTCAAACCAGAATCATCGTAGATCAAAATCTTCTCTAATCGAATGCCCGATGTTGAAATGGAAGACAGAAGTCAGTCATGATCTTCTTTTGCTTCTAACACAAGACTGCGTAAAGATGTTGCATAAATCATGGAATTCTCAAAAGTAAACAAATCATCGTGTACTGTGTAATACGGTCCAGCATCGAGAGAAATCAAGTTTCGACTATTCCGTAGCACAAAACAAATGCCATGTTCAGTTACTTCGCACAAACCACATCAAATTTCATGCAAAAGCTCACAATTTGAAAACAAAGCAATGAGAGATCGATCAGAACAACCAACCTGCTCTGCTATGTCTATTTTACGCAACCCTTGAAGCGTACGAGACATTACCTCGATCCCAGCATCAGTTACCATGTGCTTTGCGTCTCTTCTAGGCTTTGAATTCCACTCACGGTTCCAAAAATAGCTGAAAAACTGGATATCGAGCTCTTCAAGCTAGGGTAAAGCATCGGCTATAGCAACAAGGTGGTGATTTCGGAAACCCTTGACGCAACAACACCTTAGAATCTTCAACTTGTTCATGGTTGAGCCCAATTTCATAAAAGTTTTGGGGAAATGGGGGTTTTTTGTAAAGAACGGAGATAGAGGGATTGAAGATCCAACCTGAAGAAGTGATTCTTTGAATGGGGTAGTTGACATCGGCTTTGTCACCGAAGATGGGATCACGAAGCTCAATCTCTTGGAGGTTAGTGAATCGTTGAAGAGCTCTGAACAAACCCTCACAGTTATGGCTGTAGAACAATCTGTTTGGGACATTCAATTTGAGTCGAAGTCGATCGGTGATGGATAGGAATAGCTTGCAAACCAAAGAAGGGGATTGCAAGTGGTTGAAGTCATCGATTGCTAATTGATTCAGAATCAATTCCCAGCAATCTTCGGAGAGTTCCTTATAGAGGTGCTTCATGATTTGATTTCAAGAAACTCAAGTTCAACAAAAACAGATGATTTGTTATCGGCAAGAGAGTCGAGTATGAGATTAAAGAGAACCCTAGTTAGTTTGAAAGAAAGTTCCATACCAGTCAGTCACCTGGCCTTTTTTTTAAAAAAAAAAAAAATCAAATTTATCGATAAAAAAAATTTTAAAAGTGGGAATTCGTGAAAAATTCACTTTAATAATTATCTAATGTATTAGGTTCAGTCGGTTTTGTTTATTGGTGAAAAAGTTTTGAAAATAATTTTGAAATTTTTTTTAAATTAAGTAGGAAATTTTGATGTGACATTTGATATTTGATATAAAAACTAACAACTCATAATCAAACATACAAATTAAAATTCTATTAAAGCACATAAAAAATTTTAAAAAATTCGAAAAAAATTTTTTTCGAATATATAAAAATTAACATACCAATTGCAAAAAAAAGAAAAAAAAAATTGCACTGTTCCGGTCAACCAGTTAGGCCAAATTTCGAAAAAAAAAATTTGAGAATCGCGCTCTCAAACAGAATTGTCTGCAAAGTTGTGAAAAATTAATTCCATAACCCTATCCAAACATCATATTCAAATATGGGAGTAGAAAACTCGT